GAAGGGACCTGGGTCGTGGACGAGGTCAAGCGCGCCGTACGTAAGGGGTATGAAATAACGTTGATACACGAAATATAGCAGTATGAGATTACCCAGTACGACCCGACGACATATTACAGGTATTCTGCCCGTAGATGACGAGATGCTCTACGTCAGTACGAGTAATACGAACGACTCGTTGATACCCACAGCATACACAAACGTTGTTATAGCTGCGTATACCATGGCTCAGGCGCGTCTGAAATTGTACGACTACCTCGAGGCATTAGATAGACGCGTTCTACATTACGACACCGACTTGTGTATATACGTATCGGGCGGCCGTAATGCCGATAACACCTACGAGCCGCCGCTCAGTAGTCTTTTGGGCGATTTAACGGACGAGCTGGAGTCGTACGGTGGTGGTAGCTATATCACGTCTTTTATTTCGGGAGGCCCGAAATTTTACGCGTACCGAGTGCGCAAGCCAGACGGTTCTTACGCTGAGGTCTGTAAGGTCAAAGGTATCACGATCAACCACGCGACGAGTCTAGTCATTAATTACAGCTGGATACGGTCTTATGTAACGGGAGAGACCGGCGAGCCTGTCGTTTTACGCTATGACGCGATACGGCGTACTCCGTTTCACGACGTAGTGACACGTGTAGAATCAAAAACGTGTAAACCGACAGAGCTTCCAAAACGGCGACGCGACGGTCGTTTCGGATATCTGCCATACGGTTTTATGTAATTAATAGTACAAACAGAATTTGTATAAATGTATATATGACCCCCCTGTACAATAATAATAATAATAATAATAATAATAATAAAAAAATCTCTTTATCGATCTGTTCTAAGGCTCCACCAGCTCAGCCATGTTATTTATTTTTTCAGCGACGTTTCGGATATGCTAGTCGTGCACTATGGCTAGCTATGCGGCGGACACATATACATGTCGACTATTAGCTCACAGGTGCACGATGAGCTCACCCGCACCAGGGGCTAGCAATGTCACCGATAAGAGCTAGCAAGCGCGCGCAACGTTACGAGCCTCACGCGTGTCGCGCGCCCGCCGTGGCCAGGCCCCCACACATACATGCCGGCTATTAGCTCACAGGTGCACGATAAGCTCACCCGCACCAGGGGCTAGCAACGTCACCGATAAGAGCTAGCAAGCGCGCGCGCGACGTTACGAGCCTCGCGCGTGTCGCGCGCCCGCCGCGGCCAGGCCCCGCGATGGAAGGGGGAAGTGTGTAAAATTCAGCAGACTCTTTAACAGTATATTCGTAAAGAGCACAGCCAAATAACATCATTTGGCATAATGGACACGCGGTGGAAGCATCCGTGGACGTCGATGGTCTGTGGGCCAACGGGGTGTGGGAAGACGTTTTTCGTAAAGAACTTCCTACGCTTCATCGAGGATGTGAGTGACGTGCGCTTCGCGCGCGTTCTCTTTTACTATGCAGAGTGGCAGGAGGGGTACAGGGAGTACGGGAGCGCTATAGAGTTTCACGAGGGACTGCCGCAAAACACCGATTACGGCAACGATCCACGCCCGAAACTCGTCATCATCGACGATCTCATGAGGGAATCGTCGCTATAGAGTTTCACGAGGGATTGCCGCAAAACACCGATTACGGCAACGATCCACGCCCGAAACTCGTCATCATCGACGATCTCATGAGGGAATCGTCCAATAACACGGTGGTCGACCTTTTTACCAAAGGCAGCCATCATAAGAACATCAGCGTTATCTTCATTACGCAGAATCTCTTTAATCAGGGACCCGGGTAGCGTGATATCTCGTTGAACGCCAACTACATCGTTGTATTTAAAAATCCGCGCGACAGAGCGCAGATACAGCATCTGGCGAGACAGGTGTTTCCTGAAAATCCGCGCTTCGTACAGGAAGTCTACCGCGATGCAACCGCCGAACCGCACGGCTATTTACTACTCGATTTGAAGCAATCGACACCCGATAACTGCCGCTTTCGCACCTGCGTGTTTCCTTCGGACCCGTTCCACTACGTTTACGTACTGTGAAAGGGTATAAAGGGTGGGTACACCGATCGAGACGTACCAGTCATTCGGTTGTAATGGTATCCAGCGCACGCTGCTCTATAGGGCGGAAGCACGCCGCAGTGTTAAAGGCTATTTGCCACCTGGATAGCAAACAACGCAGCGCTTTGTTATAAGCGGCCGACTCACGGCTCGTTAACTGTATATGCGAATGCGCTCTGAATATTCTTCGCGGTAACGTACCTCTTAAGCCTACTCAGAAACGGCGCTTACGAAAACACGCACCGCTGCTGAGACGTTTATCCAGACCGGGTTCAGCAGTCAAAACTAGAAAACGCCTTATCGTTCAGAGCGGTGGTTTTCTACCTCTTCTGCTGGCACCCATACTGGGCACCGTCATATCAAAACTCATAGGGGGAGGTTAGGTTAGGGTATACGCCGCGCAGAGAAAGAAAGAGAGAGAG